TGATAATGATGATGACGATGATGACGATTATTATTATTATTATTATTATTATTATTATTATTATTATTGTAATTGTTATTATTATTATCATTATTATTATTATTATTGTTATTATTATTGTGATGGTGATGATGATGATGATGATGATGATTATTATTATCATTATTATTATTATTATTATTATTATTATTATTATTATTATTATTATTATTATTATTATTATTATCATCATCATTATTGTTGTTGTTATTATTATTACATTATTACTCACATTTTTATTTCTATTATAATCACTGAAGTTATTACTGTTATTATTATCATTAGTAGTAGTAGCATTAGTATTATTATCATTATTATGATTATTATTATCATTATTATTATCATTACTATTGTTATTATTGCTATCATTAATAATAATAATGATAATAATAATGATAATAATAATATTAATAATATCATTATTATTATCATTATCATTGTTATTATTATTATTACTATCATTATTATCCTCCTCATCATCATCATTATTGTCATTATTATTATTATCATTATTATTGTTATTATTATTATTATTATTATTATTATTATTATTATTATTAATATTATTATTATTGTTATTGTTATTGTTATTATTATTATTATTATTATTATTAATATTATTATTATTATTATTATCATTACTAGTACTACTATCACCATTCTTATTTTTATAATAATAATGATGGTAATAATGATAATAATAATAATAATGATAATAATATAGTAATGTCATTACTTCCATCCTTTTCACAAACACCAGCACTTCCAACATCATTAGCATTCCACCAACACCATCACCACAGTCTCATTTCCAACAACATAATCATCATCGTTTCCAACACTATCACCTCCATCATCCCTTTCACCAACATCATTATTCACAATCACCATTACTATAACTTCAACCAACACCATTAAGCACAATTTGTCACCATAATTACCCCCAACGCTGTTAACCACAATCACCATCACCATAATTTCCACCAACGCTAAACTATAATCACCATCACCATAATTTCCACCAACGCTGTTAGCCACAACCACCATCACCATAATTTCCACCAACGCTAAACTATAATCACCATCACCATAATTTCTACCAACGCTGTTAACCACAATCACCATCACCATAATTTCCACGAACGCAAAACCATAATCACCGTCACCATAATTTCCACCAACGCTGTTAACCACAATCACCATCACTATAACTCACACCATTAACCACGATCTCCACCACTATGTCCACTACCGCACCTCTAGCAATTAAACCACCACTTCTGAGGATGTAGATTTCCAGAAAGATTTTATTTTTTCATTTCTTTTATTTCATTTTATCTATTTGTTTAATCCAAAGATCAATCCTGTCCTCCATACGAATAATTACTTTTGATAAATAATGCCAACCCGTGTAATCGTGACTAGGATAAGTACCTGTTCAAAGCACGAGATCGAAGTTGTTCAAAGTTGAAAACGTGTGTTCGATATTGTTCAAAGTGCGCATTCAAAGTACATGTTCGAAGTTAAAAAGCAACGTGTTTAAAGCGCTTGCAAGATGAAGGGGCAAGTGATACGATCATCTGAAATCTGGTGTTCAGTCAGTTAGGCTTCGTCTTCGTCTTAGGCTATTGAGTTATGTTCCTCACGCCTCATACTGATGATGAGGAATCTGAGGTATTTAGGGCTCTGTGAGAAGATGAGGCATGGTGGACTACCCCCTTTCCTGGTGACGGGTAAGCTGAAGTGTGAGAGGGGAAAGAAGGGGAATGCGAATGAAGTCGTAAGATCTCCATATTCGTAGATAGTCGATTTTGTGTGAACTTTCTCCATCCTCCCTTCTAATAGATTTAAGATAACACTCTTTCAAGGTTTATACTGAGATGGGTATTTAGGGCTCTGTGAGAAGATGAGGCATGGTGGACTACCCCCTTTCCTGGTGACGGGTAAGCTGAAGTGTGAGAGGGGAAAGAAGGGGAATGCGAATGAAGTCGTAAGATCTCCATATTCGTAGATAGTCGATTTTGTGTGAACTTTCTCCATCCTCCCTTCTAATAGATTTAAGATAACACTCTTTCAAGGTTTATAGCTGAGATTCTGTTTTTTTTTCACTGGTGTATTTCTTTATTAGCATTACTATGACTCTGTATGTTTCAGGAATCAATTTGAATAGTGTCATTTTTAACAGATGAATGCATGCCATTTTAAATTTATTTTTGTTGGGTCTTTTGAATGATTTGTTTTTGAGTTTCTTACTTTCTTGCACGTATCTTTAGAGAATCATGACTTGAGAATGATTAAGTGATGGCTTTAGAATGATGAATCACTGTTATGCATCAATCATTACTTCAGAATGATTCATCCTTCTTTCATTCCTTCTTCTAATACCATCATGATGTATGGCTACATCAGGATTTCTTTCGGTCAAGGACAAGTCTATAAACTACTTTAGCGGGTCATGTCAGGTCACAAGTCACGAAAACGGGAGTGAGTTCATTCTGATCTAGTCATCATTATCCTTTTCCTCATTCTGCGCGTCTTTACTCGACGAATACTCATCATCAGCTTTTCTTCTCCTTGGTCCTGTTGCTTCCCCTGCTGGCATGGTCTCTGTTATACTCTTGATATTTGGACTTATTCTCTTTTCTTCTCTAAAACGTAATGCTATATAACAAACTGAATTAATAATGAAAAATATGTGATATATGTTTACATACATTTGACATATGAAAAAAAATATATACTTTTGTAAAATATGAAAATGTAGGATGTTTCTAATATAGTACTAACAAGAAAACCAATTACTTCTTACTACAATCAAAAAGTTATTCGGTTCCCACGATGCTAACCCCTTGGATATTTTGGCAGAAACTGACAAGCAGTCGGCGAGGGTCTGCATCGTCAGGAAGGTCGTGGTTCATGCACGGGGGAAGTTTCTCGGGCTTCAGGGGGTCGGATGGCCGCTCCCTCAACATGGAGAGCGGGGGCACGGCTGAGCCTCGGCCGTCCTTCAGCGACGACCACCACCAGCGCCCTTCTGTGAGCAACGACGGCTCCCTGGACTCTCAGGAGAACTTGGATGACGTGCCTATCGAGCTCCGGCATCTGGAGCCCGAGGACCCCGCGCTGCTAGACATCCCACCATCGCCCGCACCCTTCCTGCCGCACGCGACCGCCGCCTCGGCAGACCCGGACACGAAAGCCAAGTCCAAGAGCCTGACCGACCTTGTCCAGGCTTCCCCTCGGTCTCCCGGAAATCCAGTCTGTCCATCGGGGGTGCTGTCGGTGCGGGA